TATTATTATTATTATTATTATTATTATTATTATATGGTATTTGGTCATAATTATTTTAATAATTATAGAGGAATATTATTTTATACATTTTAAATAATTATTATTTTGGACAATTATTTTGTACATATTAAATAAGTATTTTTATTAGCGTTTCTAAATAAATATTTATATGTTTATAAGAGAAGGTTGATTTTATATTTATATTTTGTTACTGAATTCCGACAGCCCATGTAACAGCCCAAAATTGCTGGGCCAGAGGCCCAATTGATTGCCTAGAACGGGTCGTTTCAAAAGTGAAACGGGTCGTTCCGAAATAAGAAAAATACCCAAAATTGGAGAAGCAGAACCGGCCGTTCTAGTTAGGAGAACGGGCAGTTCTGGTGGGAGAACGAGCCGTTCTGCTGGTTTTGAGAACGGGTCGTTCTGGTTTTGGAACGGGTCGTTCCAATTGAGAATTTTGCGTACTTTCGAAGGGCCTAGAACGGCCGTTCCACTTTTGGAATGGGCCATTCCGGTAGGTGAGCCTGAAATCCTATAAATAGCGCCCCTCACCTCTCATTTTCACACATCTCTCATTCTCTCTTCCTATTATCTTCTGTTCTCTCTTCTTTCCCTCTTCTTCTCTCTGAAGACCAAGGGGCATTTAGAGGAGGAGACCAAGGAGATTCCTGTTTTAGTTCAACTGCTGTTTATCCAGGTACGGGGGAAAATGGGATTATTTATATGTAGAGTTACATGAGGGAATTTGGTAGAGAAAGAATCCTTTAGGATTATGAGTAATTTTATAATTATTTCTATTTGGAGAATTATTAGTTCAATTAAGAATTATATATTGAGGTTTATGAATATATGATTAATTTGTAAAAAATAATGATCTGAGAGAGAGAACGAAACTGTAGAATAGTGCCTATGAGCTAAGTTTTGGAACAATTGAGGTTTTACTATTTATGTTAAGATTGTATTAAATTGATAAGTCCATTGAATATTATATTAATTTATGAATGTTGTTGTTATATTACTTGATAAAAATTAATGATTTAGATGTGAATTGCTTGAGGTGTATGAAACCCATTATTTTGGACTTATCTGATATGTGTATGGAATTGAACTATGAGATGTTGTGTGGAATGTGAATGAGATGTGATTGTGGTTCTTCACACCTATGACCAGGGGTGAGCACGGCCCGAGATTGTTACATGAGTATCGTGACCTTGGTTAACATGTCAGGGGTGAGCACGGCCCTGGGATAGGGATAACGTGACCTTGGCACAGTGTTATATCAGGGGTGAGCACGGCTCGAGATTGTTACGTGGGTATCGTGACCTTGGTTAACATGTCAAGGGTGAGCACGGCCCTGGGATAGGGATAACGTGACCTTGGCACAGTGTTATATCAGGGGTGAGCACGGCTCTGGATTGTTACGTGGGTATCGTGACCTTGGTTAACATGTCAAGGGTGAGCACGGCCCTGGGATAGGGATAACGTGACCTTGACACAGTGTTATATCAGGGGTGAGCACGGCCTTGAATTGTTACGTGGGTATCGTGACCTTGGTTAACATGTCAAGGGTGAGCACGGCACTGGGATAGGGATAACGTGACCTTGACACAGTGTTATATCAGGGGTGAGCACGACTTGAGATTGTTAAATGGGTAGCGTGACCTTGGCATAGTGTGAATTACAAGATTTGTGATGAATGGTGTGATTGAGAATTATAACGTGATGACGATGCATGATTGATTGAAATAAGATATGTTGAAATATTTATGAATATTAGTTATAATGAGATAATATGTTGTGTTTTCTTATGTGCTATATATATAGATGTTTTCTTTTCTTACCGAGCGATTTGTGGACGTTTTAGGTGAGAAGATCCAGCTACGAGTGGCATCTAGAATGCCAAGAGTTAAATTAGGGGTATGCTCTGATATTATGACATCGTGGTAGAGGACTTTTAGGACAAAATTTTTATATGAATTTGGAATTGTAAATATCATTTTGAAAATAATTTGTAAACTCTTGTGTTTCATTTTCAAAATCCTTATTATTGTGGTTATTGAAGAACGATTTTTGAAGTTTCTCATGTGAGCCCTTTTACCGAAATTTAAAACATTTATTTATAAAGTTACAATATGTGTTGGGGTAGTAAGGGTGTCACATTTAGTGGTATCAGAGCAGGTCGATCCAATCGACCTTGAGTTATGAGTCTACTATGCTTGTTCGGTAGATGAATGATAGAATGAATTAATTGTGGAGTTTATTGATATGTTGGTATGATGATTGATTTTGGTGATTGCTATTTAATTGTGTGTACTCTAACAATGATTTATATTATGAGAAGGATAATGATGATGTTTCCCTTGGTGTTGTGTTTAGTTGTGTATTGTTTTTCAGAATTTGGCTGAAAGACATGATATTGCTTAGTTGATGTTATTCATGATTACTCATTGGTTTTGATACTTCTTACTTACGTAAGAAGTAGTGGATGAATGGTATCGCTCGTATTACGAGCATATGTGCCAGTAGTAGTGGATGAATCCTTGCTAATCAACTAGAAATTATTGGGACCTTAGATTTGGGTGAGACATTGATTTGTCGAGAGTTTACGGTTAATGGAATTTCTGGAATCTATAGTGGTAGTGATTGAATCCAAGGAGGTTGTATCTGAGAATTAGAGTTTTGATATTTTTGATGAGAGGTTGGAACGTTGGAAATTTCCTTAAGTATTGGTGCTTACATGTGAATTTTATTCTCTAAGTATTTTGTACCGAATATGTGAGCTGTTAGGATTGTAGTGGAAAGCTTGAATATGAGTTTAAGGTGGAAAGGAGTGAGTTTGAAATGGTTGAGGTATTTAGTGGAATGTTCGTACACTATCGTTGTATGGTATAGGAGATATTTTCACTACAGTTTTGTTGTGCCAGTAGGAGTACCGTATTGATAGATTTAGATTTTGTGGTCTTCATGAAAGTGGTGGCTTTGGATATTATCTTCCCAACGGAATTGGAATAAGATAAAACAAAGGTCTAGAACTTCATTTATAACTGCTTTGGTGATCAAAAGGCTAGTTGTAAGCGTTAAATATATCTGTTGTGATTTTTGAATTGTTAGCTAAGAAGAGGATCTATTCAGAATCTCATGTTTTCATAAGAGTTATAGCTTATTCTTTTATCTTTCTTTTGAGATAAGATTGAGATCATTGGACGAGTGCAACTCTCTAGGTATCATTTTTTGCCAGTTGTTGAAGCGATATGTATGGTGTCATGATGTTTTCAGTTGTTAGGCAATGCAAGGATAATAATAAAAAAAAAACTGATTTGGTTATGATGTTTTTAGGTATTTTCATGTAGAGTGAGAGGTATTTTAAGATTGTATAATGCTACGTGGTAAAGTTGGTTTATGTACATGCTGTATGGAGTAAATGATGATGGATTCGTACATGATTAGGTATAATATATACATGAATGTTTGAATAGGTATTCTAATATGATTTGATATGCATGTATGTGGATATGAGGATAGATGACCTTATGGATTAATTAGTGAATGTTTGTGTATTAATGAGATTGACCTTAGGATGTGCACTAGTGGAAAAAAGACTTTTAAAATCGGTTATTTTGGACTTTTAAAATCGGTTATGAAACCGATCTTAAAAGAGCCGATTTTGAAAAGGAAGACTTTTAAGATCGGTTATCAACTGATTTTAAAAGTAGACTTTTAAGATCGGTTGATTTATAACCGATCTTAAAAGTCTTGACTTTTAAAATCGGTTATTATAACAACCGATCTTAAAAGTCTACTTTTAAAATCGGTTGTTTTATAACCGATTTTAAAAGTCAAGACTTTTAAGATCGGTTATAAATCAACCGATCTTAAAAGTCTACTTTTAAAATCAGTTATCGCATAACCGATCTTAAAAGTAGTGATTTTTTTTGTATGTTTGACTTGTTTTGGGAGCACCTCAGAACAAAAAACCTACAGAAAAACTAGATAGTTCAAAATATTTTCTCAATGAACCACAAATTGCATACAAATGACAAGATGATAAATGTTAATCATATATATATAATTGAATAGTTTTAAATACATCTAATACATAAATGGACTACATTGCTCAATGAAATGTAAGTTCTAACTAGTTAAAGCAATACTATAAAACATCAGCCCAAACTAGTTAAAGTAACGGTCAATAAAAAATGTGGCTCATTGCTCCCTAATGATGTTTATGTCTTCTAGCGACAATGGTGATCGATCTATAAATATCTGTTAAGAAAAATTAAAATAATTAGTAATAATTCATAAAATATATAGAATGAGAACTTAAAACAAAAACTTTCAAAATTGTAAAACTTACTCAGTCCACCTAGATACTATTTTTGAATCGACAATAGTATGCATTGTCTTCATTACATAGTATCCGCACTCATAATTTCCTTTTTGTTTGTGAGACTACAAAAAGAATATAAAATCAATTTCAATAGAATAGTAATTAAAAAAAATTAGTAAATTACTTAAAAAAAATATCATTGCTAGAATTAAAATCTTACTTTAGGAGAGACCCAACTCATTTTTTTCTTCACCTTTGAACCCTTAAGCATATGATATCAAGTATGTTTATTTATAAATTTTTTTTTCATTCTATTTAAACTAAATGACTTGTTACATTATTTCATTGCAATTTTTTATCAAACCAAATAAACTAAAAAACTGCCATATATTTTTTTATAATTTTTTATTATATTTCTCTTTTTTTATTTTAGTAAATTTTACTGATCAGCGTGACGATCCTCCCACACTCTAGGTTCTTCAGAATGAGAAGGTCCTGATTGATGTTGCTCCCTGAACAAATACCCATCAAGATATTAAGCACCTCATACATATAGAATGTCATAACAATTAACATTTTCAGTTAACTTTTGAATTTTTTCTACACCTCATACATATTATAGAATATCGTAATAATTAACATTTAATTTTTTGTTAAACAGTGATATATGTAACGAGGAATTGAATTGAAGCTTGTATGGTTATTTGAGATGGGAATTAATTTTATTTATAAGGGTTCTGTTGTATTAAATTTGAGTTGTGAGATAGGATGTGATGTGTTTCTGGTTATGGTTATTTTGGGATGTTACTATTTCTTGTACCGAGAATCTTTACGTTTCAAATGTCAGTGTGCTCATGTTCATGTTCATCAGCTGTTGACATATTCTTGTACTTAAAATTGAAAATTGCTGAAAAATGAGAGTGTTAATTTGGGATTATTTGGATCCTTTGCCCGTGAGAGAAAACAAACAGAGATGTTTCCTTTCACATAACAATATCTACCTTACGTTATCATGATTCTGAAAGTTGTTGGCAATGCCCTCAAATTCTTTTAGAGAAGAGAAAACTGGTAATCAGTTGACAAAATATATAGAATGAATCGGCAGGAAAAAAATCATACTTCAACCTAAACAGCCTACATCTAAAACTTCTATTTCTTAAAAAAAGAACTCAGTTCAGTCCTTTGATCCACTATGAACTGGTTTTTTTTACTGGTTTTTCAGTCCTTTGATCGATTTTTTTCAAGGCTGGTTTTCTGGTTTATTTGGACCAAACTAAATAAATTCGTCGGTTTTCTAATCGATCTAGTTGTTCCAGTATTCAGAACACTAAATAAATTTGTTTGCTTTTTTGGTTGAGATGCCATTTTAATGACTATCTTCTTATTCTATATTGTTTGATCTGTCTTCTTTCTAAAAAACAATAGAATACCAATAAATTTCTGCCACAAGAAAAGAAAATACGACCTGAATATGTGGCACTGGACTTGAACCAAGTAGATCAAATTGTCCTCGCAACTCCAATGTTAGAAATATCGCATGTCTAATAAGATGAACACCTTTTTGTGGAACCAATCTTGTTATACAACCAACCTATTAAAGAAGATAATAGAAACATTAAATTAATAAAGCATCTTCAATTTTAAAAATAAGTAATAAATTATTAACAATTAAATGAGTAACATATAATTTGAAAATTCAAGATAAATTGTTTCTCCATATGTATGAAAGATACGTATCAAGCAAGCATATAATGATGCTGTAAATCAACACATAAGGCACGTACTCCTTGAGGTGTACGTAAATAGTGCTCCAAAGCGAGTAGCCTGAAAGATTTTTATGCAGTTAAACCGATGGCCAAAGCACTCCATTGGTTGTAAAAGCCAATCCTAGACTGTGAACTCACAGTAATTCTTAACAAAAATGAATGCTGTAAAAATTGCACAGGTATGCCACGGGCCCACGGATTATATTGATAGCTCGAATAGCAGAATAAACTAACAGAGATTAATTACAGCCCATAAAAGGGGAAGCTACATAGGATACAATTATTACAAACAAATAGTTAAATAATGTTGACATTTGGTCACAAATCTAATTTTTGTTCAATGGAACTCAACCAAAAGCAACATATGCTTATGACTTGCAAGTGAAGCTCCAAAATAAAACTATAGTGTTGAACGACATCAAAAGTAACCAATTCCTCACCATATGCGTTTTTATTGCTTCTTACAAAATCCTCCAAGATGGCAAAATTCATCAATTTAACTAGGAAGAAAATCTATAAAATCTTTGATTCAACGTAATTGTGATTTTATGATATATAATATAACTGAGTAGCGGGATATATTTTCTCATACATAATATAAACTGCAACCATTATGATAACTGGTATGATAGAAAGATTTAAGAAAGATTGAATAGACTGAAAATAATTTAGGCATGAGCCTGTGTATTATTGAGCAATTCTGCTGATCAATACAACCAGAGAAATACAATGAGATATTCAAGAGACCTCTCATCTCCCAACAACTTCCTAACCTCCAAATAACTCCCTTCCCTATTTAAAGACTATTCAATTACAATTGTTTTTCCCACTCTATGCCTTACATACACCCTCTTAATCAATGGTCTCCTATCACATTATGTTAATAACACTAGGATATCATATCACTTCAACCTACATAATCAATCGTTGAAGCAAGGTCAACTCATTAAAATTAAGAATAGGATCCATAAAATCATGTGCAAGACTAGATAAACTTACAGCATCTGGTAGTTCCTTGTAAGAAGTGATTTACATAAATGCAATAGTTGAATTATAGTTAATCACCAACCAATTTACAGAAAAATTTAGAATAGTTATTTTCAGCATATGATAAAACACGAGGCTATATTCAACCTATCCAGGATATTTTTAACATTCATAATAAATAAAGTTATTTATTGGTGTAAGATTAAATTTGCTTTACAATATATGGCATCAATGGATCCTAAACTCCATAACAGAACAAAGCATGAAATTTTAATTTCACAAGAATAATCATTAATCAATAACTATTGAAGAATGAGAATCGAAATTGAAACTATTTTATACATTACTTACCCTAATGGAGTTTTCAGGACCACCTCTTAATTGATAGGACCAATCCTACAACCTTGGTGGAGACTGGAGATCAAGAATGCAGACATATCAATGAACTCAGGCATTGGCACTGGAGCTTTATGGTCCAATCATGTTCAAGTGGTGCTATGTTCATCCCTGACAAAGTTATCATCAAATTATCCTTTCATTTTTACCATTGTAAAGAGGCAATGGAAATAAATAACAATGCATAAATGACTCAAACTAACCATGTCAATAATTTACTTATAGTTTCCCTCTTATACACACAAAATTCAATTTAGAATTCTTTCCCTTATTGTGGATCTTCCGCAAACTTCACACTCAATGATTTTTATAGAAAACCAATATCCATGCATACATTAATGACAGTATTCTTATAAACATTTATGCCTACCAATACCATGTAATAGTAATATATAACCAGTTACAAAACATAAAAGATGAAAACAAACATGTATTCTCATCAATGATGGGAAGCAGAAACTAAAACTGAGCAACTAAGAAACAAAAGAACAATTACAAAAATTGAACAGGGAGAATTTCCTGTTAAATACAAGATGTTGTTACACAATATTACAACTTGAACTTTTTCTTTATCAGTAAAATTATATATATATATTTTAAATATGTTTTATCCTAATTCAAATTTACCTTTATAAGCTAGAAATTGCCTCTACCAAAATATTGAGTTACATACAACATATATCGCAAATAGCCCCAATTTCCCAGCAAGTTCAGTATATTTCTGGACACTTTCATTCAATGCTCAAACCTGTTCATTCAATGTCAAGTACTGATCAATATTCAGTGTATACTTGTATAATAGTCCAAAACATCTTGAGCTGACACTTACTTTAATCATGGGTCTTGAACCATAAGATAGATTTTTCCCTTGTTTCAAAAGCTTTTATAAAGGATCTTCATCCACGTCTTGACCAATCTGAAACAGCATGAAACAGAGATAACGGTAAACCTAAGAAAATGGTAACGCAACGAATGAGGGAAAATAAGAATAGCCTACCTCTTGTAGTTTCCGTATGGGAAAACCCTAACTCAAGCTTTTACTATTCTGTTTCTGGTTCTGGTTCTGGTTCTGGGTTACGGCATCACGGGAGGCGACAAATTGCGCGACAATGGCGGTGGCGTCCGCGACAAAACCCTAACCCAAAAGTGAAGACTGAAACACTTACCTCTTGGTGAAGACGAAAGGGAACTCGAACGGAGGAAAACGCAAATCTGAACGGAGGAAAACGCAAATCTGAAGGAGGAAGAAGAAGCCGAGACAAGTGAAGAGTGAAGCACAAGAGTGAATAAGAACGCATATATTTAAAATCGGTTGAATTTTAACCGATTTTAAATAGTATTTTAAAATCAGTTATAATTTACCGATTTTAAAAAGTGTCTTTGTTATTACTTTTTTAAATCGGTTATTTTAGAACCGATTTTGTATACTATATACAAAATCAGTTCTAAAATAACCGATTTTAAAAGTAATAACAAAGACACCTTTTAAAATCGGTTAAATAAAAACTGATTTTAAAATATCATTTAAAATCGGTTAAAATTTAACCGATTTTAAAAGTGGTGATTTTAATTACAAAAATGCCACTGCCTTTCTTTTAAAATCAGTTCCCTCTTAACCGATTTTAAAACTCCGATTTTAAAAGCTATTTTTGCACTAGTGGTGATATCATCATATTAAGAGTTAAGTGTGAAGATATATCCAAGATAAATTTAGGATAGATTATCTAAGTATGATTTTTGACTGTATGAGGTGAGTGTTCTAGGCCATGTAATTTCTTGTGGAGGTATAACGTAGATCTATCTAATATAGAAGTTGTGTTTAAGTGAGAGATACTTGAGTCAATTAGCGAGGTTATGAGTTTCTTGGATTAGCTCATTGTTGTTATTTATTGAATAACTTTCTAAGATAGCATTACCTTTGAACAGATTGAGTAAGAAGAGTGTTGTTTTTGTGTGAGATAGTAAGTGTGAGAGTAGTTTCCAAATTCTTAAGGAAAGATCGACTAGTGCACTAGTGTGAGCATTGGCCGATCTTAGTAAGCCTTTTGTGGTATGGGTTGATGTTTCTAAGATAGGTTTGGGTGGAGTGTTGATGCAAGAAGGAAAGGTAGTAGCTTGTGATTTTAGGCAATTGAAAACTCATTAGAGGAATTACCTTACCTATGATTTTTAAGTTAGCAGTTGTAATATTTAGAGACAATGCCTATATGATTCTAAGCTTGAGGTATTTATTGATAATTAGAGCCTTAATTATCTGTTGACTGAAGGAGTTAATTATGAGACAAAAGAGATAGTTTAATTTCTGGAGGACTAATATTTCAAACTTAGTTGTTATTTGAGTAAAGCCATTGTGGTGACCGATGTTTTGTGTAGGAAACCTTTATATTTATCTTCCCTTATGATTAGAGAGATGAATCCTTTTGGCTCAAATTAGAGATTTAAGTTTGGCTTATAAGGTTACCCTTAGTAGTGTGAGACTAAGTATGACTTGAGTAACGAATGGATTGTTGAAGGAAATTGGAGAAGCATAATTTTGGTGACAAGATATGAGGCTATAGGATAAGGTGATGGATAAGAGTTTGACTTGGGTGTAGATGGAGTGGTGAAATTAGAGATCTGATATGTATACCTAGTGAACTTACGCTTAGGTGCTTAATCTTTAGAGATGATCATAGAAGTAAAACCAATGTTGTGGCAGATGCCTTGATTATGATGACCTCTGGTATATCATTTTTGATGATTTAAGGGTTGGATTTGATTGAAGAATTTAGAGACTTATGCTTTGTGTGTGAGATTATCCTTAGGAGCATTGAATTGATTATGTTGAAAGTGACTAGTGAATTAATGGATGAGATTAGAGAAGCCTAGGAGTTAGAGCCTTTCTTAGAGAACCAAGTGGAAAAGATTGGTAGGAGTGTAGATAATTTTTTTGAGTAGAATCGATGTTATTTTGAGGTGCAAGAACAAATTTGGGTGCTTAGTAACCTTCAATTAAGAAAGATGATTTTAGAGGAAGGACATTCATTTAGGAGCTACTGAGATGTATCGGGACCTTAGGAGGATGTATCAGAGTGGTGCAGCGGAAGCATGGTGGCCTAAGGTGAAGAGAGGAGTAGAGAAATTGTATGCTCGTGTTTAGTATGCAAGAAGTCTTTTGGAATTTTGTAGCACTTAGACGTCCCATTTTGGAACTGTAATGGTGAGTGGATAGACCTTAATTGTAGGTTTGTCTGAGATACTTAAGAGATCGATTCTATTTGTGTTTTAGTGGATAGGCTCGCCAAGTTTACTTGTTTTGCCCTTAGATATCCTTTGGTGAAATTGATAGAGTTGTACATCAATAAGGTAGTGAGGTTGCATAAGAATTAGAAAGTAAGAAGTGAGGAGTCTACCATTGTAAAAATTTCGGGGACGAAATTTTTTAAAGGAGGGGAGTATTGTAACAGCCCAAAATCGCTGGGCTAGAGGCCCAATTGATTGCCCGGAACAGGCCGTTTCAAAAGTGAAATGGGTCATTCCGAAATAAGAAAAATGCCCAAAATTGAAGAAGTAGAATGGGCCGTTCTGGTTAGGAGAACGGGTCGTTCTGGTGGGAGAACGGGCCGTTCTGCTGATTTTGAGAACGGGCCGTTCTGGTTTTGGAACGGGTCGTTCCAGTTGAGAATTTTGCATAGTTTTGAAGGGCCCAGAACGACCGTTCCACTTTTGGAACGGGCCGTTCCGGTAGGTGAGCCTGAAATCCTATAAATAGCGCCCCTCACCTCTCATTTTCACACATCTCTCATTCTCTCTTCTTATTATCTTCTACTCTCTCTTCTTTCCCTCTTCTTCTCTCTGAAGACCAAGGGGCATTTAGAGGAGGAGACCAAGGAGATTCTTGTTTTAGTTCAACTGCTGTTTATCCAGGTACGGGGGAAAATGAGATTATTTATATGTAGAGTTACATGAGGGAATTTGGTCGAGGAAGAATCCTTTAGGATTATGAGTAATTTTATAATTATTTCTATTTGGAGAATTATTGGTTCAATTAAGAATTATATATTGAGGTTTATGAATATATGATTAATTTGTAAAAAATAATGATTTGAGAGAGAGAACGAAACTGTAGAATAGTGCCTGTGAGCTAAGTTTTGGAACAATTGGGGTTTTACTATTTATGTTAAGATTGTATTAAATTGATAAGTCCATTGAATATTATATTAATTTATGAATGTTATTGTTATATTACTTGATAAAAATTAATGATTTAGATGTGAATTGCTTGAGGTGTATGAAACCCATTATTTTGGACTTATCTGATATGTGTATGGAATTGAACTATGAGATGTTGTGTGGAATGTGAATGAGATGTGATTGTGGTTCTTCACACCTATGACCAGGGGTGAGCACGGGCCCGAGATTGTTATATGGGTATCGTGACCTTGGTTAACATGTCAGGGGTGAGCACGACCCTAGGATAGGGATAACGTGACCTTGACACAGTGTTATATCAGGGGTGACCACGGCCTTGAATTGTTACGTGGGTATCGTGACCTTGGTTAACATGTCAGGGGTGAGCACGACCCTGGGATAGGGATAACGTGACCTTGACACAGTGTTATATCAGGGGTGAGCACGACCTTGAATTGTTACGTGGGTATCGTGACCTTGGTTAACATGTCAGGGGTGAGCACGACTCTAGGATAGGGATAACATGACCTTGACACAGTGTTATATCAGGGGTGAGCACGACTTGAGATTGTTAAATGGGTAGTGTGACCTTGGCATAGTGTGAAGAACAAGATTTGTGATGAATGGTGTGATTGAGAATTATAACGTGATGACGATGCATCATTGATTGAAATAAGATATGTTGAAATATTTATGAATATTAGTTATAATGAGATAATATGTTGTGTTTTCTTATGTGTTATATATATAGATGTTTTCTTTTCTTACCGTGCAATTTGTGGACGTTTTAGGTGAGAAGATCCGATTGCGAGTGACATCTAGAATGCCAACAGTTAAATTAGGGGTATGCTCTGATATTCTGACATCGAGGCAGAGGACTTTTAGGACAAAATTTTTATATGAATTTGGAATTGTAAATATCATTTTGAAAATAATTTGTAAACTCTTGTGTTTCATTTTCTAAATCCTTATTATTGTGGTTATTGAAGAACGATTTTTTATGTTTCTCATGTGAACTCTTTTACCGAAATTTAAAACATTTATTTGTAAAGTTACAATATGTGTTGGGGTAGTAAGGGTGTCACAGCCCACGACGTCAACGGAATGCAACGGAGAAGCTCAGAATTCAGTTATCGGGGACCCGAATTCTAAACTTGAACAATAAACTGTGCTACTCTTGTAAATAATGTGTCACAGGTTCTATTTGGATAATTGTTTTTTAAAAAATTATATTCCTGTAAAAATGTTGATATTTATATCAATATCAAAATTAATGTATATTTTTTTTTTAAAATAATCTAAATTGAAGTGAATTTATAAAAATTATATTGAATTTAAAAGTAATTTGTCTTAATTGAACGGAACTGCATATTAGTTCAGATGAATTAATTTGTTGTCTTGTGTTAGTGAACTAAATTGAACTGTATTATAAAATTTTAAATTGAATTACAATTTAAACTACATTGAATTGTTATGATACTTTGAATTAAACAATTTTAATTTGTTGGTCTGTCATGAATGGTACATTTTTTAATTTAATTAAATTTTTTATTTAATTTAAATTTTTCAAAAAAAAATTTATAAAATTGAATCAAATAAACTCGATAAATTTTAATCCAAAAAATTAGTCTCTAACATAGTTTGATTAACCCATTAGGTCCAATAAAAAGTAGTAAATTAATAATATAATTTTAAGAAATAAAAGAATATTATTATATTCATAATATATTAATAATCTAAAATAGTATATATAATGTTATAAAATAAACATAAAAAAATGCATATATACTAATAAATTGTTATAATAATAAAGATAATTACAAATTTTTATAAAATTAAAAATACTAAAAAGAATAATTATTTATACATGTTTATATGTGGTACCAAGTCTAATTATTAATATATATATATATATATATATATATATTACTTAAAACATATGAAATTGAAATAATTTTAAAAATTTTATTTTGATTAATATCGTATTTTTTAAAAAAATTATTATTTTAAAAAATTCAATTGTGACTATATATATGATTCAAATAAAAAACTAACAGCAGATAAATAGTACAAATTTAAAAAAGATAAAAAAAATTACTACAATGATAATATATTAATATTTTAAAATAATATAAAGCGTAAGCTATAAAAAAAATAGTAGAAAATAATATTATAAAAAACATAATAAAAAATAAAAGGACACAATTTATACTTTTACGTGTAAATGTACCAAAAATAGTTATTAATATATATTTATATATTTATTCTATCTATTTCAACTAAAATTTAAGAAATTAAAATAATTTTAATGATTTTTCCTTAATTAACATTTGAAAATTTAAAAATAAATAATCATGTAAAAAAAATTTGCTTCAAAACAAAATATTATTTGGATTCAAAAAGAGGGAAAACATTTGAATAGAAAAAATAAACTGGAAAGATTAAATTAAAGGAATTATTAAAAAAATATAAGAACTTAATTATAAGATTAATAAATAAATGAATATTTATCAAATATAGGTGTTTATTTATTATATAATAGAGAAAGGCACGAGAATTAACAACGGGTACTTTCAAAGAACCAAAATTTTGGGACAGGTAGATGAGGATTTGTGGACAAAAATCTCCACCATGATATACAGTTCTTGACATGTTTTCTACCTTATAAAACCCTAGTAAAGTACCCAACTACCCACCAAAAATCATTTATTTTTCTCTTTCTATTATAAGATTTATGGCTGATATAAAAGTTACTATATTTTTATTAGAAGTATTTTTCTCTTTCTTGTTTTGCACCGCAATCCAACGACATTTTTGATAGTGGACAATATCTCCATTCTATTTATCTATATAACAAGGTCACAATTCAACCTAGCAAAACCAAACTTTTTCTCTCTTCTTTCATTTAACAGCAACTATTCACACTCTTTGGAGGATCCAACACCAAATCGAACCAATGTCTCCTTCTGAACCCGTAGTTCATGTGGCTTTCCTCCCGAGTGCTGGCATGGGACACCTTAACCCATGTCTGAGGATAGCAACACTGTTCCTCCGCCATGGCTGCAAAGTCACTCTCATCACTCCCAAACCCACTGTTTCCACCGCAGAGTCTAACCTCGTCTCTCGCTTCTGTTCCTCTTTCCCTCATCAAGCAACCCAAATTGACTTAAATCCAGCCACGGTTAACACCAACGACCCTTTTTGGCTTCAGTTTGAAACCATTCGCCGTTCGGTTCACCTTGTAGCTCCAATCCTTTCTTCACTTTCAACACCTCTCTCTGCTTTCATCTACGATATTAGCTTAATTTCCCCTCTAGTTCCTATCACCCAGAAACTCTCTTGTCCCTCTTACATGTACTTCGTTGCATCAGCTAGGATGTTCTCATTTTTTGCACACCTTCATGTTCTTGCTGCTTCAGATCCAAGTTCACAGCCACACCCTTCTTCGTTCATTGGCGATGGTGTTAAAATCCCGGGCATTGCATCCCCAATTCCAAGATCCTCGGTCCCTCCTTTGCTCCTTCAACCAAACTCTCTCTTTGAGAGCATCTTCATGGAGGACAGTGCGAAAGTGACGAAGCTGAACGGGGTTTTCATCAACTCGTTCGAGGAAATGGAAGGAGAGGCACTAGCGGCACTGAACGAAGGAAAAGTGGTGAAGGGGTTGCCCCCAGTGTATGGTGTTGGCCCCCTAATGACGTGTGAGTTTGAGGAGGTGGAACAAGGTAAAGGGGGTTGCATGGGTTCGGTATTGGAGTGGCTGGATGAGAAAAGTGAAGGGTCGGTGGTGTATGTTTGCTTTGGTAACAGGACAGCAACGAGAAGGGAGCAGATAAAAGACATGGCTTTGGGGCTGACAGAAAGTGGGTATAGTTTTTTGTGGGTGGTGAAGTTGAAGGGGGGTGACAAAGAAGAGGAGGAGGGTTTGGAGGATGTGTTGGGGAGTAAGTTGATGAGTAAGGTGAAGGAAAAAGGTATGGTTGTGAAGGAATATGTGTACCAGATGGAGATTCTGGGTCACCCTGCAGTGGGGGGGTTTGTGAATCATGGAGGGTGGAACTCAATAATAGAGTGTGTGTGGCAAGGAGTGCCTATTCTGTCTTGGGCTCAGGGTGGGGATCAGAAGATAGCCTCAGAGGCAGTGAGGATAAGTGGGGTGGGGATTTGGCCTCAGGAGTGGGGGTGGGGATCAGAACATGTTGTCAATGGGAAAGAGATTGCTGACAGAATCAAAGAGATGATGGAGAATGAATCTTTGAGGGTCAAAGCCAAAGAAATGAAGAAGGCTGCTAGAAATGCTGCTGGTGTTGGTGGGAGGTGTGAGGTTATTGTTAAGAAGCTAATTGAGGAATGGAAGAAAAATGTTTAATCCACCTAAGCATTGGCACTCACCAACAGTGTTAGCTACTTACCAGTTGTAATAAGTTTTGTTGTTCTGTTGTTTTCGGTTATATTTCCTGTTTCGTTTTCTTGGCTATTTAATTTGGGTAAAAAAAATGTGAATTTTTTTACTGAAATATTAATTTTTTTTTAAAAAAAATTATCCAAAAAATATCTGTTTTAATTTATTTATACTACTAGCATCTTTTACTGTTCACGTTCAGAACGGGTCGTTTCAGATTCAAAATTAATACATGACCAGTGCAACTAGAATTGACTGTTATGAATCCAGAACGAGCCGTTTTGACCACTTCTGATGAGTCGACATATGGAACAATACACGTGAGCACACATTGATGGGTTATCCAATGCAATGCTCATTGTTTCATACACGAGAATACATGGAATGGTACATGATCAATTTCATCTATTTGCTATCTGTGTCACGACTACTACAATGCAAGCTCTAACATGAAAATTATTAGCTAATAATGACAAGCCTAGATAAGTTACAAATCACACTAAGAAGACATATCCAAATAATGTATAATTATAATAGTTTATAAGTGACATAGTGCATTAAAAGTAAAAATGCATAATATTAAATTTGTAAAAAAATCTTTTGAAGTTGTTGCAATCAAATGCCTTTTGTCAATTATGTTTTCTTGTGAGGTGATGTTGTGTGGACGATTTAATACATGAGGGTGAGTCTCTTCATACGATCGCATGGAAGGTGTACCAGTTTCAAATGTTGTGGAAGTCCTTCGTTGTTGATAAGCCCTTGGATCTTGTAGTAGTCGTGGCATAGATAAGAAATAGATGGAATTGGCCATGTACCATTTCATGTATTCTCGTGTTTGAAACAATGGGCCTTGCATTAGATGAACCATCAATGTGTGCTCACGTCTATTGTTCCATATGTTGGCCCATCAAAAGTGGCTAGAACAGTCCGTTCTGGATTCAGAACGACCCGCTCTGATTTCACTAGTCATGTGTTAATTTTGAATCTGGAATGGCCCGTTCTGATCCATTCTTCATGTGTTATTTTTGCATCTAGAACGACCTGTACTGAACGTGAATAGTAAAGGATGCTAGTGGTGTAAATAAATTGGAACAAATGCTTTTTGGGTAAAAATTTTTAAAAAAAATAATATTTCAGTAAAATATTCAAACTAGACTTTTTTTAAATATATAAAAAAAATTATTTATTTAAAAAACCTGAGGTGGTTATTATTTATCCAAATAACACACTTTGAAGCCTAAGTGAGAAATCGGTTACTGGGTAACCGATTTCTCAAAGGGATTTTTTTAAAAAATTTCAAAATCTCTTTGAGAAATCGGTTACCCAGTAACCGATTTCTCACCTGGGCTTTTTTTTATTATTTGTTTTTTAGATTTGTTATTTTTTTTCCTATTTCAGTTTTAAATATTCAGATTTTAAAAAAAAATTATAATGAATTTTAAAAAAAATTATTTAGTTTTTGTTTTTAGATTATAAAAATCTATTTAATATTTAAATAAATTAATTTTTAAAGAATAAAATTAATATTAAATATAATTTTAGATAAATGATAATATTATTATAAATCACAATTTAAATAAAATAAACTTTAATTAAGATGAACAACTTTAAATAAAAACAAAATAACAACAACAAAATAGGAGATCGAATAAAAAAGAATAACATAATTAGAATCCACGAAATTACAATCCAACTTTAATAATGTTTATGCCCACCAGTTTCACACCTCGGAGGTTGTCGGTTCCTTGTTGGGTTTCGACGACCAATGCATGGTTGTTGTGGTTCAACTTGCTCCTCATCATGTTCTATATTAACAGTATCGGTGATTGAATTTGACGAACTACTTCCAGCGACCTCAGAGTGATAAGAAGAAAATGAAGGAAAATTCATGCTTTGCATGTAATTATATACACTTTGTGGCGTGTGTACGTCGACGCCAAAAAAATTTCTCATGAAGTCCCTTATTGGAGTTGTTGTTGACGATGGGGTGTTCATGAATTGTTCATGGTGCGTATGAAATGGTGGATTAGACTAGGGATGTTGTTCCACACTATAAGGTGGGTGGTTATCTCCAGCCACTAGGAATGTTGTCTATAGTTGTTGGGAGTTGTGTATTAGAAGTGGATGCATGAGATGAAGAATATTGGCGACAAAGAAATAATTTAGAATTAGCACGTAACCATTGCAAATAATCAGGAGTGTGTTGGAGAGGCCCTTGAAGTCGTTCCCAAAAAATAACATGTTTGCATCTGTCTTTCCAAATGGAAATTCAGTCTGCATGTTGTTTAGCCCAGTTGGTGTTGCTATGTCCTCTCATGTCTATTTCGTGCATTTTATCAAGATTATGAGCTTCATTGGGGATTGATTGTCATAAGCCAAATTGCAATTGGACTCTGTCAGTTTGATGTCAGGCTACAACTGCAAATAAAGTTAAAGCAGTACAAGAAGTCCATATCCTAGAATCCTTATAAGCACGTGTTGGCAGTGAGGACTAAAATTCCCTATATGGCATCGATAGAAACTGAAAAAGAAAAAGGTTTAGGGTATGAATCAATTGAGTATAAGAGAGTATGTTTGAGAGAATTTTACATTGTATTACCTTGTTATGGTTCATGTTGTCATATCTTAATCTGTAGCCAAGTAAATTTCCATGGAGCGTGCTTGTAAATCTTAGCCCTCTTCTTGACCACCTAAAACATTTGTACATTGATAAAATTTTAGGTAAAAAATTTTAGTTGTTCAATGTATTAAAGTGGTATAAAAATTAATTCATACCTCAATGCTAGCAGAAACGTAATATCCTGTTGGACTCTTGGTTGGATGAAGGGCATGCGATACCAAGCCCAAGACTGTAAAAGCAAAGAACATCCACCTATTTTCTTTGATGATGGATAGATTTCCCTAGACATTTCTCTATACAAATGTGCTAAACAAGCAGAACCTCAACTATATCGTCCTACACGTTCCAAGTCAGCCAACAGCGGTAAATACATTAAGTGAAGTATGTTACTTGAGTTGTCTGGCATAATGACACCACCAATCAATCCTAAGATATATGCCCTACAATGTTGGTGCAATTGTTGTTCACTGGGTTCATCTAGTAGTGCAATTGTATGGTCTCTTAACCATTTTAGTTTTATGCTTGAGCCGACTAGAGCTTCCCCTTTCAAAGGTACGAAGCCTAACAACTTGTAACACAATTTATCCTAGTCAAAGAAAGTTGGTTTTGTGACTAGTTTGCCATCGATCCTTAAACCCAATTGTAGTGCCACATCTTCCAAAGTGACTGTGCACTCACCAACTGGGAGGTGAAAAGTATGTGTCTCAGGTCTCAATCTCTCCACCAAAGATGTTATCAAGCAATCATCGATTTTAAAATGTCTTATTTTCGCAACCTCGCCAAAGCCAGAAACCTCCAACAAATGCTCAATTATTGGGTCAGGTGTAGGCATGGAATGATAGTAAGATTGAATCACTTGATCACTTGTTGTCTGCAAAAATGGTAGAATTGAAATGTTAGTAATGAATAATATTAGTTGTAAACATTATGCAATATATATTAACTTACCATAAGATGAGTTTCATTTGACCTATGGAGGTGTTGTTTCCACAACATAGTTGAAGATGAAGAAGACATTCTTGAAAAATAATAGTAATGAAATTGAAGAGTGCAATAGCTGAAGAGAATTGATCTTTTGTTGTGTGTTTAGGGTTGGAACGTATGTAGTGTATATATAGCGCAAAAAATTTGAATTAGTTTGTCTCATTGTGTAAGGAATCCAATGACTTTGTGTAGAGTGTCATCAATTGCTTTGTCCCAGAGTGTCAGGAATCCAATGACTTTGTGCAATGTCATCAATTGCTTTGTCCTAGAACGTCAGAAAAATCAATGCTTTGTGCAGAGTTTCATTGCCTTAGTCCCAAAGCATCAGAAAAATTAATGACTTTGTGTAGAGTGTCATCGCCTTGGTCCTTGAGCGTCAGAAAAATCAATGCTTTATGCAGTGTCATCAATTACTTTTTCCCAGAGCGTCAGGAATCCAATGCTTTGTGCAGTGTCATCAATTGCTTTGTCCTAGAGTGTCAGAAAAATCAATACTTTGTGTAGAGCGTCAGGAATCCAATGAATTTGCGTTTGTCCACATTAGGTTGCTTTAGTTCTATATAAACCCTAAACACAGGCTAAAATGCAAGAGATTGAAACATCCAATCAATGGAGTCGTTAACTGTTCTAGCCACTGTTTATTATGATGGACAAATTTTCTCAATTGAGCATGGAGTTACATTTGTTAGCAACAAGGTTAAAACCCTATTGGTAAGTGACATGATGACTTATCAAAAACTTAAGCATGTTATTAATAATAACCTTAATCTTCCTCATTACAAAGTTGTCATAGATATTCACTACCGATACCCAAATTCATGTATCGGTGGTGTAAATAAATATACAGTGTGTCGTCTTAGGGATGATGAAGATGTGAAGTGTATGTTTTCATTGTTCATAGAATTGCACGACCTAACAAGTCTGGAACTGTATGTTACCACGACGTATATTGGATTATTGCATGGGATGGAAGCTATTGAAAGATACCTCGACCAAGCAATGAAGTTAGACAACTAATGTTATATGATTTAGGTTTTATGTTATTTATCTATTATGTTTAAAGTTGTTTAAATTGTGTCTTTTTATTTAAGTTATTTTCATTTTAATGATGCAACCGTTGTAATTAGTGTACTTAATATATAATGTCATTAATATTTAATAAAATAATATTGACATTTATGTAATAATCAATTTAACTATCTTTAATTATTAATACAAAATCAATATATTTATTATTATATTACAGTTTTTAATTTTCTATATTTAATAATTTAATTTAAATAATAAAATTAATTTTATGATTCTAAAATTTAGTATAATAAATAAGTTTTAAAATTTTCTTTATTTTTAACATAAATTTAAAATATTATACAAAATTTTATAATTTTATATATAATTCTGAAAATTATAATTAACTATATTTATTTTAAAAAAATTTAAAATCAGAAATATTATAATTTATAGATAAATA